CAGAAGGTAAGCCTCCCGGCTGGCAGCCTCCTAGACTCAGGTACCACTTCACCAAGAGGTGAGTTACAACTGGCACCTCCAGGGAAGGGCCAGTGCTCTGCCCTGGCGCTCTGGGGTCTAGGGAGACCAGGCTGGGTGGAGGTGGCTGTGACATGTCTTGGGGCTGAAGGGACCAACCCACCTTTCTAGGAGTGACTCAGCGAGCAGCCTGTGACTCAGCCTGCGCCCTGCAGGAAGAAGGCCCGTTGCCAATTCCCGGGGACAGGCCAGGGTCCCAGGCGGTGCTGGGTGGAGGCAGGAAGCCCTTCCTAGCCCCAGGCGTCCGGCGAATGCCCTGACCGCTCCCCTTCAGATCAAGCTCCAGGGTACCTGGACCTGCTGAGTCCTCCAAGACCTTGAGTGATCCAGTCCAGCCCTGAGTCTCTCTGTCCTTCCCCACCTCACACAGAAACCCGCTGCCACCACAGAAGGGGCTGTGATGGCATGGCCATGATAGGGTCTGCTCAGGCTAACAGCTGGGTAAACAGGCAGAGCTGTTACTTCAACAAACCAGGGAGTCCAAAAACAGGCCATGTGTGGACTCCACCCCAAGAGACAGGGGAACAGAAAAGCCCAGGGGGCCACCAGCAAGCCCACCACTCAAAAACTGAGGTAAAAACAAAATGGGGGTTCGGTGTGGCTCTGAGGTGGGGTGCCTGCTTGGCACATACGAGGGCCTGGGCAGACAGCAAAAGAGTTAAATAATTCAACAAAAGCATGGGACAGAAGTCAGTATGGTAGCACATGCCTGTAATTTTAGCACTTGGGAAGTCGAGGCAAGGAATTCAAGGTCATCCTCAGCTACATTGAAAGTTCGAGGTCAGCCTAAGCTACATGACATACTGTCTCATAAAAATTACAAAAACGGGGCTGGAGAGATGGCTCAGAGGTTAAGAGCACTGGCTGCTCTTCCAGAGGTCCTGAGTTCAATTCCCAGCAACCACATGGTAGCTCACGACCATCTGTAATGAAATCTGGTGCCCTCTTCTGGCCTGCAGTCACACATGCTGTATACATAATAAATAAATAAATCTTTCAAAAAAAATTACAAAAACACGAGAACCATGGTGTACACCCAGAACAGACGACTGCCCAGTCCACAGGTATGTCCCAAGCACCACAGAAAGACTGTAAAGGAACTAGCAGGGGTGAGGGGCCCTGCAGGGAACAGGAGGTTGTCAACTAGGGGGTCTGAGCTAAGCAGATGCCAAACAGCCCCTGCACAGCAATGGTTCCTGGGGTGGGCTCGTGGACCCCGAACACCCCAGCTGGCCCAAGCTCCCTTCCCCGCGTCCCTGCCACCCAGCCAGGTCAGGCCAAAAGGTCAGTTAGTAGGGTGGAGGAAGTAGAGTTGATCCCAAGGGGACCCCCCACGGCTGAAACCCAAACAGTTTAGTCTCCACTGAGAGGTACAGTGAGAATGAGAGGTCAGGGCAGTGGAGTTTGTTTAAAAACAGAAAACAGGAAACCTCTGGGGGCTGCCAAGGCATGGGGGACAGTCAGAGAGGGTGGCCTAGGGGTGCACATGATTTTATTCAGCGGGAGCAAGGGACTGACGTGTGTGCACGACAGTGGCGTGTGGCTACTGAGTGCCAGCGTGGCCGCAAAGGAACAGCCAGGGTACCCACAGCCCCTGAGACCTCTTCTGAGCTCGGAGGAGAGAGAAGGGAAAGGTAGAGGGGGAAGAAGGAGGAGGTAGCAGAGGAGGAAGGAAAGGGAGGGGAGAGGTGGAAAGAGAAGACATGGAGGGAGGGAGAGGGGTATAGAGGGAGGGCAGGGTTAGCGGGAGAGGTATGCAGTGTGAGCATGAAGCATGCCAGTGAGGGAAGGAAGGCGGCCCCAGCTCAGGGTTGGTCTGAGAACCTGCCTGCAGGACCCCTACCTATCCTACCCCCGGGAGTCCAGCGAAAGGGTCAGGACGGCACAACCCTGCACCTGTCCTGGCCACTGGACTCTGTGACTTGTAACTTAAGCCTGGCCACAGCTATACTTCCTGCCACTTCCCTGGGCAACCCAACTGGTCTCGGGACATTGGCCATATGGCTGTGTGCCCAGCCAGGCCCAGGGAGCCATGCCAAGCTTCGGCCTCATGACCACTAGCAGCAGGGGACTAGCCAGCCTGTCCATAGAGCCCCCCAACCCTGCCAGCCTGAGGCAAGCAAGACAAGGCAGGCTTGCAGGACATGTGACAGTCAATGTGCCACCATGCCGACGGCAGGCAGCTCTCCCAGTCAGAGAAAACCTGGGGCGGAGGCAAGATCCAGTCACACAGCCATCCCTGGGGCATAGGCCCCTCACCCTAGCCTTATTCGATGTTAAGCAACATTTTTAGGCTTAGGTCCAACTAGCTCAGCCCTCATCTTAAGTGGCCTCAGTGTCCTTGTATACTCCACCCCCTCTGTGCCCTTAGCCTGGTCCTTCCAGTGCGTCCTGAAGCTCAAGGCCTCTGGGGCTGGGACCTGAGTAGCCTGCACACTAGCAAGAGAGAACAAACCCCGTCAGGAAGGAGACTAACACACCTCACCTCTTGGTTTGAGCTGACCTGGTGAGGGGAGCTGATGATACAGGCAGAGAGGAGCTATTGCCAATAGTCCTTTGTGGCCAGGTTTGCAGACGGCAGGTAGGAAAACAGACACAGACCAGGGCCAGCCACTCATCCCTGCCTGCTGAGGGGTTGCCATGAGACCTGAGCTTGGTTCCCTGGCACTGGAAAGAGGAAGATGGGAGCAGCAATCTGGCTACTAGGCCCCCGAAACTTCCAGAGCCCCCGTCAACCCTTGGGAAGTCAGGCTAGGATTCTGGAAATGAAACCTCTTCCTGGGGACCCTCCCCAACAGAAAGAATCCCCTTTCACGCCTCCAGTAAATGCCCAGTTTCTCCTAGGTGTCCAGTCCAGGTGTCCTAGCTGCTCCCAGACAGGTGTCATGGGGACCAGCCTTCCAAGCCCAGTGCCAGCCTTGGACCCACACACCAGGGCATAAGATCCAGGGCAGCCTAGCAGCCTAGCCCGCCCTCCCCAGGCCTGTACGGCTCTCTGCCAGCCACCCCCACCCCTTCCCAGGGCATCCGCTTTCACCAGAACAAAGGCGGCTGGCCAGGCGCTTCCTGATGCTTCCTGAAGGAGCCCCAGCCCAGGGCTAGCGCCTTGGAGGACCTCCCAGACCTGCAGCACAGACCCAGGAAGAACTTCCACCATGAAGAGCTGGAGTCAGTCTGCCTGCTCCAACCCCAGAGCTTCCTGCCCCTACCATGGTGGCAGCCATTGGGCCAGCAGTGACAGGGCTGTAGTGGACAGAGAGTGCAGACAGGGAAGGTTGGTGGTGGCCTCTTCTCAAATACAGCTGGAAAGGGTTTCTTTTCCCCTGTGCCATTTTACATCTGGTAAAACCGAGGCAGAGAGAGACAAGATGCCCGTGCATGAAGCTCTCTCCCAGCTTGGAACAACCCAAGGTCCAATGGGCAGATGTGAGAAGGAGGCTAAGAGGTGCTCTGGGCCCTGGAGGTAGCAGAGTCCACACTTTGTCAGGAAGGCAGTCCACTGCCCTCATCCCCTCCCACACAGCACTTGGGCATAGTGCCCACCTGCTCTGCAGGCAGTCTGGGGTTACCATGGAGATAGGGCCCCTCTCCCCAGCACTACCTCACCCCTGCCTCTTTAGGCCCAGCCATGCAGGACTGGGAGGAAGGAGGGCGGGCATGAGCACCCCCCCTGCTGCCACCAGCAAGTGACAGTTCACATACACGGCCTCCCATAGTTGCCCCACTGTCGTGCCAAAGAAGAGGGTGGCTTTGGGTTCAAGGAGCTCCTGAGACCCCCTAGCCTCCAGGGTACAGGAATTCAGATGATGGAAAGGAAGTTGAGAGATGAGGGAAATGGACAGGGTCAAGACCAAACCAGACAGCCCTGGGGCGGCCACCTCCTCCTCTCCCTCCTTCTCCACATTGGCTGCCAGAACACAACTGTGAATTCAGGTTCTGTAAAGTTCTAGACCACTTGCTGACCCCCAGCCTGCTCTCCAGCTGTCTGTCCACAGGATACCAGGTGGGGAGACAGGCACCGGCTGTTCAGGCCTGTCCCTCGCCTGGCTGGGGAGACACACCTTACTCTGTCTGCCCCACACCTAAGGCTGCAGTAGGCACAAAGACCCAGAAGAAGCAGAGGCCAACCAGCTGTGCTGCGGCAGGAATGGAGACACAAGCCTCTGGACTGGAAGGATGGCGTGTCTGCAGGATCCACCATGCAGCCTGCCCCAGCCCCAGCTCTACCAAGCCCAGCTCACGCACACACCCTTACCCTGGCCCCAGGGAGCCTCAACATGGCCACCACTCCTATAAGCCAGAATCCCAGTGAACTAGGACACAGATTTGTGAGTGTGACCCAGTCCTGGCGTAACACCGGAGTCCCCAGGCCCTGTTCACCTTGGGGTGGCTTGCTCAGCACTGAGACACAGCCTGATCTACCCTCTTGCCCGCAGAGGAGCCTGGAGGCCTAGGGGGTTCAGAGCTGGCAGTCTGGGTTTAGTCGCTGACCCTCTGACTTGAAGGTGGTCACCAGAGCACAGGTATCTCAGGAATGTCCACTTCTACCAGGCTTCCTCCACATTCCTGCACCCCTCCCATCTCCACGAGGAATTCCTGAGAGTAAACACCAGGGCGACTCTGAGGGCACTAGGGGCCTAAAGCAGGTCTGCCATGCCTTCCTGTGCACAGCCAGCACCTCTGCTCCTACCAACTCTGGTGTGGCCTTTGGTGGCACCCCATTCAGTCCCCATTTTCCTTGTGCACACAGGGACACTGGAAGAACCAAGATGCCCACCGCTGGGCCTTTGCCTGGGCTGGCCCTGCTCCCGGCAGCCCTGCCCCAGGCTCTGTCTCCCCGGATGGTGACCTCACCAGTCCCATTGTCTTGTGCCCAAGGCAAGCTTTGTGGCCGGAGCTGCACAGACAAAAATGAAGCCTACCTGGCCCAGGTCCAGTGTGACGTTGACCTCATTGTACTCCAGGCCACGGGACAGGGGTGGGCTCTGCCACCAGCGCTCCGTGCCGTCGATAGCGTTGCTCACAGGGTGTGCCTTGTTGCTGTTGGCAGCTGTACAGATGTCACAGTACTGGCCCTGCAGGGAGAAGATGGCCAGATGACCAAAAAGGCCTAAGCAGCCCCTTCCCTGCCCTAGAGCCCCCGTCCTGACATGTGAACCCGGGTCCCACAAAACGGGTCTCCATGGTCAACCTTCCGATCCTCATCTTTCAGTTATTAAATCAACTCAAGAGGTATGGCTCACATTACAGGAAAGCCAGTGTTTGAGGAGACACCTGCTTTAGGTGAGAAAAATCAAGGCAAGCCTCCATGGGAAGGAAGCATCAGAGGCCTTCACGGTAAGGGGAGCTCTGGCAGGGGGCTGGCTATTGGAAAGGATCTAGGATTGATGCAGCCTACGAGCAAAGGAGGTGAGAGCAGGTAAGATACCCTCCACCCCTTCCAACTACCACTCTCCCTGTCGCAGGTCACTGCAAGGAATCCCACAAAGGGTTGATAGTATGGGGTTTTGCGGGGACAGGTACAAGAATAAGAAAAGGAGAGCTCTTAGGAAGAGGGATCATCTGGGAAAGAGGGTTCATGGAGGAGTCAGATGTCCCCCCAACTCCCAGCCTGTGCTTGGAGGCCCCCCCCCAGGCGTGTCCAGTACTTCCTAGATTGGGTCTCCAGACACAAAAGTTAAGCTGCCTGCAGCTTGTGGGGGCCCCTGATCAAATGCAAGTATGTGGGCAGTGGCAGGAGAGGCCTGGGACTTCAACTGCCGTTTCTGAGCTCTGGGACAAAGGAAGTCAACATGCCCTGGGAGCCTCAGTGTTCCCGTCTGCAGGGTAGGGCCTGGCCTAGCCACCTTCTGGGGCCTGCTGTTCCTGGTGGGGGAGGGGAAGGCCATGGCTCCAGGCCAGGAGAGTGCCCCCCCCCCCCGCCCCCGCCCCACCCCCCAGACTCCACAGGGAAACCAAACCTGTCCTACACAAAGGCAGCCCTGGGGACTTGACCCTGACAGAGGCCTAGAAAGTGACTCCACTCATCCCAGACTGAGTGTGGGGTACAGGACTTTTTTCCAAAGAAGCTTGCCCCAATTAGGAGGTCTCAGTGGCAAGAGAGCCTCCAGCCCCCACTGGCACCGAGTAGACTTTGCCTTCCTGGAAGTCCAGCTAGCTCCAGACTTCCACCTGGTGTGCCCATTCCTAAGAACCCCAGGTGTTAATATCTGGGGAGCTCCTGCCTGTAGGCAGCCTGTAGGGGCCTAGGTGCTTGCTGTTCTGGTCTTGGTTTAGATGCCTGCCCGGGCATTGTCCTGGACCACCCAAGAAGCTGGCCTGCCCCCTGCCAGGCGTTGCCTGCTGTTTACCCCACCACATCAACTTTCCTATCCGGACAGTCCCACTGGGGCCCTGGCAGCTCTTTGGTGTTGGACACACCTTTGTGCTCCACCACCCACAGATCATAGAGGAGCCAGGGCTATGGTGACCCTAAGTGGGCCTGTCTGTCAAGCCTCACCGCTCATCCCCTAACTGCTCTCAGAGCTACAGAATAGACAGTGCAGGGGCCCAAGGGGTACACTGACAGGACCCTGACCCCATGGGTGCCAAGCAGGGTAGAGTGGGCAGGCCTCCTAAGGAGGCTTCTTGTGGTCCAGACCATGTGGAACATGACCATACCGCCCCCAGAAGTCAGGCCCAGGCTCAAGGATGCAGGTAGTCCTCCAGTTTCCCAGGAGTCCAGGGAAGCCAGTGTGTGCTCCCTTCCAGCCAACAGAGAGGATCTTGAGAGTTAGGAAACTAACTCCAATCAGCTATTCACGGAGCAGCAAGCCACAAGCACCCTTGGTGGGCTGGATTTCCCCACTGACCTCTGGCTTACAGCAGACAGGGCTGGGAAACCAGGCTTCCTCCGCCCCTCTGCTGCCGAGGGTCCTGCCAGGAACAGAACTAGGAAACATAGGGGCTGATTAGGAGTTCCCCTTCCAATGAGTCACCAATTGCCCTGAGTGGAGGCCAGCAGAGTTCTTCTGATGCCCACCTAACACTGAGAGGGCAGGAGTGACAACCCACGCTTCACCTTGCCCAGAGGCTCTGTGGGACTCTCGCAGGCTCCTATCTGGGATGCCCAGTCCCTCTTCTGTTGCCGTAGAGGGTCCCTGACTCCTTGGGGCCATGCTGTGAGGATGGGGTCTGTGTGTTCCATGTCTAACCCTAGACATAGTGGGACCTTGGCAAAGCAGTTGTTACTTCTACTTTCTCACCAAGGAGAAGCAACAGAGAAGGCCTTGACCTCTGACCATCTGGCTGGACCTTTACCGCTCTAAGGAGGTAATAACAGTTGTGCAGGGCAGAACCTATCCAAGCCAGTAACCCCGAGAAAGCCTGTGCACAACTAGAGCAGGAACTGTGGTCTAGGGTGTGGACTTGGATTTGATTTCTCTTTCCAGGGAATAACAAATTACTAGGTAAGCAGTGAGGAGCCCCGGGAGCCGGGCCTGCCTCTCTGGGTCAGGTCTGAAGGTTCCTGCTGGGCCCCTTCCTGAGACCTAGCTCCCTGACACCTATACCCGGGGAACTACAGGCAAAGAGGCACCCCACTTCCAACTGCTCACCTCAGAGGGGTCCTGCTCTGACTTAAACGGCTTCAAAAACAGGTGTTTGTAACTTTCCAGGCCTCAGTTTCCCTCTCTCTGATGGCTCACACATGTTCTTACCCTCAGACCGCTAAGAAACCAGAGCGAGGGGGGTGGGGGGGAGAGCCTGGCCCTTCTCAACTCCCTCCTCCCCACCGGAGGGCCCAAGGAAGGCTAAGTGGGCAGGCAAGGGGGGTGACGGCCAGGTAAGCAGTAAAGAGAACTAAGCTCCTTCACGTCTCCCCTTTCTCCACCCCGACGAATCCATTTTCATCTACTTTCCCCCTCCTCAGCCTCCTTCCAGGAAGGTAGAAGCAGGTCCCTGGGGGGTAGCTAACGTTACTAGGCCCTTAGGGCTCCCAACTCTCCCAACTCCCCAACATGAGGTCCTGCAACGGGGCTACTTAGCCCACCTGCAGGCTCAGCATGAAAGACAGGGCCTCCGGAGAGTCTTTAGGTACAGAATCGTGCCTCCTAGGGGACTGAAGCCCACGGACTAACACCTGCTGGGCAGGGGGGCCCCAGCAGGTGTTCCCGCTCAGTTAAAACGTTGCCCGCCTGCGTTCTCCCACCTCCCTCCGGAGTTCCCAGATCCCAGACAGAGAAGTTTCAACTCTTGGCTGGGTCAGTGAGATCCAACACCCAGCAGAAAGGGCGCCGGTGCAGCTTCCGCGCTCATTCCGTCCTCATCCGGGAGGCCAACAGGTTCCAGCCTGTCCCGGGGGAAGAAGGAGCTCCCGCCCCCTCCTCACAGTCAGCGGGCACCCAGGCCAAGTCCCGCCCACGCAGGGATCCTGGACTTAGGGCCGCCAGGGACTGATCACCGGTCCCCTCCTGCCTAGGTCAGCCTCGCCCCCGCCCCTTCCGAACTTTCCCGGCCCCTGGGGCCCTTGGTCCGCGACCCGGACACTTCATTGGCTCTTCCAGAGGCACATGTAGTTTCTGCAGGAGTTTCGGTGGCTGCGTTGGGATCCCTCCTGGTCCATCAAAACATGGGACCAGGGAGTCCTGGTGGGAGAGTCGGTACTTAGACTCCCCTACCCCCCAACCACCACCACCACCACCACCCGGGCTCAGGGAGCCTCTAGGAGTCGGCTGGGTTCAGGCTCTGAGTAGGAACACCGCAGGATGGTGTGTGTAACCAACTCCTCCGCCCCGCGCTCACCTGGATGGTCTGGTTGGGATCTCCGCCAGCCACCGGACCCCCAACCAGCTTGCAGTAGAGGTCCTCGGTGGGGCGCGAGGCACCGCGCGTCGGGGCCTCCTCGCCGCAGGTCGCGGACGCGGTGATGCGGGCGCCCTCCGCCAGGTTGAAGTAGGGCGGGTGCAGGCTGAAGCCATCGCCCCCGGGAGTCCGCGCCTCGCCTGGCAGCACCAGCCCAGCCAGCAGCAGCAGCAGCAGCGGCGGCGCGGGGCTCCGGGGGCCACAGGCGCGCGGTGCGCTCCCCGCGCACAGCCGCCCTCCGCGCTTCGCCATCTTCCTGCTGGGGGCAGCGGCTCTAGGGACAGCGCGCGCCGCAGGAGCCTAGCGAGTCTAGTTTGGGGCGGCCGGCCCGGCTGACTCCGCCTGTCCTAGGACGTCAGGCCCCGCCTTGGCCCGCCCTGGCGCCCGATCCTTGTGCCCCGGGGAGGGGGTTGGGGAAGGGCACAAGGGAGGGGGCGGCCTGGGGACCTTAACCCTTCGGACCCCGGCCAGACCAGCATCCCTGAAGGGGCACCTGCTGGCCCCCGGCCAGGCCGTGGGAACTTGGCGCTACTGAGCCTTTCCTCTCCCCCAGGTCCAGGCTTCGATCCTTAGGGTCTTTTCCCTGGATGCTCGAGACCCTAGCAAGCCGGGCCTGCCTCTACCCGCCCAGAGGCTCCCCTTTTTGTTTCCCTTACTTCAAACAGGTTTCAGCCACCTGGCGCCTCCCCGTTGCCCTATCCTGTTACTCTCTTCCTTCCCTGTTGGTGTTTGTATAAACTGTGTGTGGCCATGGGTGGGGGCCCAGAGGGGATACGATCTGCTATAGGTCGGGAAAAGACCAGACAGGAGGGGACCCCCTGCTTCCTCCATTGTTAGGGCAGATTTAGCCCTTTCTAGCCGTATCGGCTTAAAAATCCTCTGCAATAAGGGATCGATCAGGACAGGAGCAAATGAGTGACACGGGTGCCCACCCATGGGGCATTCCCAAGGAAGCTCGTCGTCCTGTAGGTGCCAGTCTGATAGGACTCTGGTTACACATCTCTTAAGCAAGCCGTGGCTCTAGCTCCTGTGTTTCTGGGGTACCGTGGGCTCCAGATGACCGGCCAGGCTGAGTCGGTGCTGCAAGCACTGAAGGTCCTAGAGGTCGAGCTAAAATGATTGTGTACCTCATTTCTACTTCAGCCACAGCCACTGGATCTCCTCCCCTTGGATTCCAGGGCCAAACTTATCTCAAGGAAAGTCCCCGGGTATAGGAGTTGGGCGCAGCAGCAGGGCTAGCAGCCCCCCAGTCTCCTAGCCAGGCCAGCCAGGACATCATCTCATGTAGCGCGTACGACTCCCATCTCCTGGGTCTTCTGGATAATCCCAGGGGTCCGAGTGAGTTCCTGACGTCGTGTCCTGGCTGGGTCCTGACCCGTAGTTGTTAGGAAAGGCTGCACCACCCTCACATCTTCCTGGCTGTCTGCAGCCTCCTGCAAATCTTAAACCCCAAGGGGCTGGGTGGCTCCCTGCCTTAGTTGAAAACTGAGGTCAAGCCCGACTGAGACAAGCTGCCCTCCCTGGTGCCTTCCACTTTCCTTCCCCGGAATTCCTCCATAACCTCACTATTAGTTTTCCACCTGGGGGAGGGCAGGGCAGCGGCTTCCCTTTGCTGTGAAGGCTTAGTGTGGGGGAGGGGCTGGCTCCAGAGAGGGCGGGAGACAGGGAGGAATCTGGAATTCAGTAGAGCAGGCTCAGGAGCTGATTTATGACCCAGTGTGAGGCACAGCTGGGGCAGTAGCAGGTTCCCAGATGGCTGGCCCCACCCTACTACTGCCCGGAGGTCTACCGTGCCCATCAGGAAGCTGCTCCAGCCTCTATCCCCTTTGACAGCTGGGGGTCCAAATAGCCTGAGGCTGAAAGATACAGTACCGAAGTGTCTGCTGACTTCATGTGAATTTCTTGAGGGTCTAGAGGGCAAAGGTTGTGGCAGGACTCCTCTGAGCCCCCTAGTGGCCAGGCCAGATGTACTTGGGATTGGTCCCAGAAGACTGGCCAGTGGAAGAGAGGGGCAGATGCCTGAGAATGTGCTGAGTCAGCCCAGCAGCCAGCACTGGGAGGGTTAACCCCAAGCTAGCTCCTTCCCAGCAGACAGCTGCCCCAAGAGCAACTGGTGGCAGGCAGGGCTGGGCGGGTGATGTGGGCAGAGGACACTGTGATACAGGACTCTGCCCTTACCCTGTGGCAGCCGGTGTGCCTGGACCAGGAGGGGGCAGCTGGATCTGGAGCTGGGGAATGGAGCAGGAGGAGATATCTCACGAGATGGTTTTCTCTGCCCACCCACTACCCCCATTCCCTACTGACCAGGTCTGGTTTCCAGTCATCACTACAATGGGCCCAGTATCTTCAACTTCCTCTGAGTCATCATAAGCAACCCAGACAATTTTTTTCCTCGTGGATGGAGAAACTGAGGCTACATGGGTGGAGGCAGTCAATCACAGTTCTAAAGAGAGAAGGAATTAAATCAGTTGCTTCTGTCCTCAGGCATGCCTTTTGGGATCTTTGGGGTACCATCCCCAAAGCTGACCCCTTTTTTCTGACAGTCCAGACAGCACCAGAGGGTTCTGTCCTGTACCTATGGGAGAGGGTGCCTATCTGGAATGAGGTAAGGAGTAAGCTGGCCACAAGAGGGGACATGTACCTAGGCCCAGGCTCAGGAGAAAGCAGAGGGGTCAGTTGCAGCTTGTGGAGGAAGAAGTCTGGTGTATTTTCTCCCAGCCCTGGCACAGAGTCCTATTCCAGCAGCATTCCAGGGGTACACATCAGCCCCTGAGCCACCCAACCTGGGGACAGCTGTTGGAGAACAGAACCAGACATGAGCCATCTGACTCAACCCTAAAAGTCCGCCATGGGAGCCTTGTTTACACTCAAGCATGTCACTAGGCATCACAAGCAACTGCAGACAGGCTCCTGCCTTCAGGTGGCTGCAACACCTTCACAGAGAGCTGGCGCTAACTACCTCTTGCTTGGACACACTGAAAAGAAGGTACAGTTCCAAGGCCCAGGATGTGTGCCTCCACAGGGACAGTCTTTGGAGAAAAGCCAGTATGGAAGCCACACTCCCCTTCTCAGGGCTGTTCTGAGGCCTTTTCAGGGAGCCAGTGGTGGAACCTCTATCCCTGCCCATGGCGGGCAGCCAGGAGCCAGTGGCAGAGCTGATTCCGGCAGCTGCTGTCAGCAAGATCCAGCTCTATTCTCCAAAGATTCAGATTGGACAGATGCCAGAAGGAATCTCAGCCATGAGAAGCTGACATCAGGATGTCGTAAACCCAAAGGACAGCATCTGGCCTCTGTTGACCACTGCTTGGCAGAGTAGCACATCATGTCCCTCCATCAGTACTGTGCACTGTGAAACCCAGCCTAGAGCTGGGGAGCTTGGTGATCTGGAGGTCAGCAGTCCTGGTAGCCTCAGAGGCCGCTCCCCCAAGCTTGGAGAACCTGTCCCAAAGGCAGCTACCGGTTCTAACCTCCCAAAGTCTCCTGGCTCCTGCACCCATAAGGGTGGGGTTGACGGCTACTAGACATCTCTGGCCTGAGACAGGGCCTGGAGACAGTTCCTGGCTATTCTTCAAGCGGGGACTTCTCCCCTCCTGATTCTTTAGAACCTTCAAGCCTAGGCACCATGAAGATATATGTATAGCTGCATACAGTATACCGTCTCGTTTCCACAGGAAGAACCTAAGGGTCCAAGCAGGTCCATCATCTCTGCAGGCAGTGAGCTCTGGTACCACTGCAGGCCTGACCCAAGGCAGTCACTGCCCCATGGGTGGAGGCCTGATAGGTGGGGTGTGTCAAGAGAGTACATGATTGATGGTGGCTCAGGTCCCAGGCATTACACAGGACTCCTCAAGGTTTTTCTCCCTACCCAGTCTCTCTTCCCCACAGGTGGGATGAAGATGTAACTTTAGCTGGATGCCCTGAAGAGAAGGGCACACTTGTAACAGGTGTACAGCCTAGGGAGACCTCCATTCAGTGGTTGATGTGATGCTCAAGAATTCAGGGTCCAACACAGATGCTCCCCCAGCCTTAGTGAATTTATCTGAGTGTGGGAGTCAGCCCACTAGTGGACAGGATGAGGTGCCTAGAGCCAAATAGGTAATGGACCAACTCCTGGGGTTCCCTTGCCCTGAGCCCTGGCAGTCCTCAGAGGAAATCTGTAGGAGTTTGAAGGAGACCCGAGTTCCCAGGGAGACCCCTCATCACTACACCCCAATTTTCTTGTTGATCCTGACACTTCCCAGTCTGGGGTGGGGTGTCAGGAACTGGAAGGAGGGGTCTTCCCAGAAGCATCCCTGCTGGAGCATAATATAGGTAAGACACCACTGCATCCAGGTGAGATGTCACCTCTACCTGCCTGCCAGTTGGCAAGAGGACCAGCCCTTTGCCTGAGAGACAAATGTCAGGTCCTTCTAGGCCCACCAGCTCCCTGGGAGAGAGAGCATAATAGGCCTAGGAACCCCAGATACCAAGAAAGGGAACTGTCCTTCCATGGTGAGTCTGCTCCTAGGGAACTACCCGGTAGAGAAATCATCAGCCTGCCTCCTGGCACCTCGATGAGATACAGGGTTTGAGACTCATCTTGCCTTCCCTACCCAATCCCCACCACCTCTCAGATAGTACCCGGAGAAGCCTGAGGCTCAAACCTGTAGGGAGAGATGGAGAGGGAGCTCTGGGCACCATGGGAGACTGGTGGCACACAGGGATGCTGTGCGTAGCCCCAAGGCTGCCCTGTACTTCCCTAGTACCAATGCTGCAACAGGCCCCTCCCTATCCTGGCTGGTCAAACTGGCTCCCATGGGGTAGGCGGGGGCGGGGGTGGGGGTGAGGGCCTGTGAGAGGTGCCCACAGGCAGCCTTATATGGCCAGGAGGCCTTAAGCTCAGGAGGAATGTTCTCCTGAGGGAAGGCCCTCAGGCAGAGCCAGAGTGCTGCTGGGACAAGGCTTCCTGGACTGTCAGACTGCTTCCCACGGGCCTGGGCCTCCTGGCCACAGCCCAGCAGGGAGCCACCTGAGAGGATTCTCACCAGCTTCCGCAAGATGAGTGTGTGGGGTCCTTAAACCCCAGTGTGCCAAGTTGTCTGCAGGAGCAAAGGCAGAACTCGAGGTCAGCCTGCCCCACTCACACTCACCACACAATTCTCCTTTGCCCGGCCCAGAAGCCCCGACTCTGCTGAGCTCAGCCCCTCTGCCCACCTGATCCACTCCATCTCTCTTAACCCTAACCCTCCTCACTTCTCTCTGTCTCTGCCTCACCTCCATCTTTATCTATTTCTGTTTCTCTCTGTGTGTCTCTATGACAGCTT